AATAGTCATATTCGTTATGTAAATCAGTGAATCAGGATTGCAACATTTCATTCCTAGGCGTACTTTGACATTATCCATTATCATATAAAACGTGGATAAAACCACACAGGTGAGGGGAAGCAATATTAAGAAGCATATTGAAAAAGGCAGTTCATGCTTTTTTTATTTAGAGAGTAAAGAACTTATACAGCTCCACTACTTTCATGTTTGATCTGTTTAATAACAGTTTGCCTCATATTTTTTATAGATTACTGTGATATTCTAGAGTATAGCTACTCCACAAGGCACGCAGAAGGTGGACAATTACGTCTGCCAAAATTTAGAACGACACATGGTCGATTTTCATTGTCTCTTGTGGTTAGTTACTTGATTACCTATAATGTCAGATTCGGTTTACAACACATTTGTTACACAAATCATGAATAAAAAATCCATGCAAATAGTCTGTATGTGTACAAAAATTATATTTCGTATCATCAGTTTGTATCTTGTAAGACATTGTTAAAGTTATATATTTTTATAGTATTGATTGCAATAGTAAATGAATTTCTACGTTTTTGTTTTTGTTTTGTTTTCTGAAGGTTACGTGTTTAAAATTCATTGTTTAGCTGTAAGGCGTTAGGGTCAACTAGCACATATGCTATTATCCGCCCATTTTACCAACCAATATTTTCTCTTCTTGTACATATAAATATTGTTGTATGAAATGAATAGTACTTATTTGCTGTTTGTAAATAAATAAATCAATACAAAAATATAATAAAAATAATAAACATTGACAGGATTGTAACCAGAAAAGTGATGTACATGTTTATTGAAGTGAATTAACATCAACTCAAATCACATAAAATGAAATGAATTCAACATTTGAAAGTATCTAGAAGGAACCATAGGTGTTAAATTGAATATTTTGTTTCAGATAATTAAAACAATTAGCTCCTGTGGCCAGGAGCAAGACAATACCAGCGATTTTATTGCCTTTCATATGCGAGTATCCTTTTTTTTTAATGTCATTAAAAAACAATATATATATATGAGAGAGACAAAAGCTTTATAAAGAAGACAACTATTAAAGGAAGGAAGAAATCTGCCAAATTAAAGGGGATCCCTCATAAAAAACTGAACATTATTACGTTTTGCGTACTGGGATCCTTCTCATTCAAACGTTTATTACAATGGGGTTCGTCTTTTATGTTATCTTTATTCGACGTTTATCCTTCTTCATACTTATCAAACTGTTTATTTATACTTTATGTACATATATATTTTTAATTGCTTTGGATTAATTGAAATTTTATGTATATCATGATGATATTCTTTATAGATAGGTATGATAGGCGCTCCTTTGTTATAAAGTTCATTAAGTTTGTGTGAAAGCAGAAAAATAAGAAACTCATGATTGCAAACGTTTGAATAAATCGGTCAAATAATAAAGCAGTTATAAATGTTTGAAAAATGATATCTCTAAATCTATATGCGAATCTCAAATTGGCAATTGGGTCAATGGATTGTGATGAATTCGTGGACAATTCTTGTTTGTTGTGTACAAAAATATCATTATTTTCTGTTTTTCTCGTTAGTGCCTTCTTCCATGGGGCACTCCTACATACAATGTATTATGGATAGCATATTTTATTATGTATTTTATATGAAATGTGTTTATATTTGTGTTTGAAATAAATTGAATCGAATTAAATTGAATAAATTGTGAGAATCTCAGTTTGAAAAGAAATTACATATTTGCACACCCAGTGACTTAGAATACCATTCATTCAAAAAGGGCATTGAATGGAACGCGGTCCTATACAGAGTGAGTCAGAAAAAATGTCCCACTTTTTAAAAGTTCTAATGTTTGAAGTATGAATATTTAATCATGGGTTTCATGATATGTCTTGATAGAGTTATCCTCCTAGTACATTTAGGTACCATTTTCATTTGAATCTCTGCATGCATGACTGAACATCAGACAATCTTTACAAGACTGCCAGATCTCACTTGCGCCAAATGACCGGGTGAGGAAATAAAACAGTGCATTGAATAAAGACAGTTAGACAGACACACACACACACACGCACACACCAGACGGACACGCACACACACATGCATGCACACACACGCACACACGCATACACAGCACACACCTTGACAATTGTTTCATAATTTCCCCTTTTCTGATTAAGCAATGATTTTTTATCAAGATCGCTGAATGTTTAAGTGGCATATACCCTGACAATATTTCCCTTAAGTACAAATTCACTACCACCATCATGTCATCACCATCATCATTGTCATCATTTTAATCTTCTTCATCATCTTCATCATCATGAAGCACAACATCCGCCAATACGCACCAAGAGGACAGCGGCCAATCAACTTTTCCCTAACCCTCTGGCAGTCTTTGTTCAAAACACTATTTTATTCCTCACCCAGCTACTTGGCGCAAGTCAGATCTGGCAGTCTTGTAAAGAATGTCTGATGTTCAGTCTTACATGCAGAGATTCAAATGTAAATGGTACCTAAATGTACTGGGAGGATAACTCTATCAAGATATATCATGAAATCAACGATTAAATATTTATACTTTAAACAATACCACTTTTACAAATTTGGACATTTTTTTCTGACTCTCTCTGTAGAGCTCTCAATGCTTCATCAGTCACGAGTTTCATACACAAATAATTTTGGCAGAAAGAGAATAAATTGCTGAGATTATTACATGTATCATGCGTGTGTGTATTTGACAACAAAGTGAACGCTAATCAGTATACGCTCTTAGAATTAAATTGCATGTAGGTAGCTGCTGGTTGTTTTAGAGAATTACCCGATTCTTGGCAATGATTTTAGAAATTCAGCGCCACAGGATTTTGAACATTCTAGGGGCAATATATATTTCATACCATAAAGCAATACACGTTTGGGTGATATTCTGAAAACTTCAGACTTTCAGAATACTGAATAAGAGGTATGTTAAGGGTATTTCAACACACAAAAGAACCTTCAGCAACGACTTTCTCGGAGCCAGTACTCCAGTTTGTATACAATTTGGTATGGGCAGACTTAGGTTATTTTGTACAGAAGTTAGAATATCTGTGGATGTTTGAGGCGATTTGAACCATGTCCTAATTACGAACTGGTCTACACTTTATTTTACACAGACCGATTTAATTGTTGATGTTTATGTGTGACCAATCCTTTCTCACCTTATATCTCAATCAAACAAATAAGACCGCTACCAGACTACTCATCACGAAAAAATATCCTCCTATTATACTTATCTCATTTCCCCTACCCGTATTATACAAATCCCCTTCAAATTCATGCAAAAACTCTAGCCTTTGTAACACCTTTCCTCGTACTGGTAGATATATATTTGTATGTATCATAATTTCTAAACCCTGTTAAATAACTTTTATTAGCATGTATCTCCTGATTTAATCTGAAATTAAAGAAAGAACCTTAAAATCTAAATGTGAATTAATCAACCCAAGAACACCTTTACTTTGTAAAGTACTATCATGACTGAAATACCAACTCTCATCCCACATTAAACTACATATATCTTATCAGAAGTACTGTATGTTTCTAGCAACACAATATCTGCATTAAGTAATCCTTACACTAAGTAAATATCTGAGATCTTTTGTTCTTTCCGCCCCCGATTCATTTTACATTTATAAAAAAGAAAATTTCAAGAAAGAGATAGTTTTTCAAAATCCATTACTATAACAATGATTTATTTTGAACACTTTGGAGGAAAGTGACACCACAATAACAAACCATAATATTGTCTTCTTCATGGATTAGAAAATAAAGGTGATATTTAAGCAGTTGAAGTCTACCGAAAAAGATCCTCGAAGAAAAATAGAAGTAAACCTTATTCTTGTAATACGTACTACGACAAATTTATACAAAGACATCCACACCCAGACCAGACCAGACAACCAATTACATTATCCACAGAGGCCAAAAAAGGATGTTTGAACTTGTTGGAGTCGGTACAAAGTCGGTTTGCCAGTGTGACCAGGGTATTAATCATACCTCGAAAACCGACTTCTTAGCGATTCGGGGCAATGTTATAGTGTGTCTGGTCTGTTGTTGGTCTGGCATCTTCTGTCAGTTGAACCACCCATGAATCAAAATTTGTCTATTTTATTTCAGAACTGATTCTCAAAAGCGAGGATTTTAGTTCATCTTCTTTACTTACGAAATTCTATGTATGAATTCAATATGAGAATAATGAAAGTTATACATTTTAAACAAAGGGTTCGAGTATGAAGTGCATATGTACACTGAGAGAGGCGAATAATAAGCACTCTGTTAGCATCTTATAATGCTTATTATTGATGGAGATAATACTGACAAATTTGGTTTATATTCTGCCCATTCTAGATAAATGAAGTGGTACTCTGTATCAACCTATTACATCATTACACAGTCATGTAGAGTGTTAAAGAAAAGTGATCTTATAGGTGGAATTCTTTATCATTCTCTGTCCCTTTCGTCTTTCTCTCTTTTTCCTGTTTTCTCTCATATTTCATATCGTTGTGTGCATGTGTGTGTACGTTGGTTTTCGTTTGTGTGTGTGATGGATTGGCAGGGGGCACGTCATCCAAGCACTGGTTATGAATGAGGCGTAATACAATATTGATCCGCCATGTTTTTTTTTCTTTAACGCAAATCTGAAACCAGGTATATTTCAGGCCCCGTAAATAGAGAAAAATGGCAAGGCAATAGTTCTGTATTGTTGCAATACACTGTACAGTAATGTAGTCGGACTTCTGAAGCCGAATATGGATATGAATGCAAAGTCCAATTTACAGAATGCTTTCATATAATCACGCTTGATTGCTCCTCAGAATAGTGCAAATAAATAACGCTACTAAAGGGGTAAGGGCTAATTTAAACAGTAGTTCAATGTCAAATGACAATATGCGACATGCTGTTTGGAGAGCACGGTAGTATATACGAGAAAAACGTAGTGGGTGTGAATTACGTTTAATATGGCGCTGTTTTCAGCAGCAGCAATAGGAGACGTCCAGAAGATACAATCATTAATCGTCTCAGAAGACAAGTCAGAGGATTCGGGAGGAGTCGATGTAAACTGCTCGGATGCGTCTGGCAAGACGGCCCTCCACATTGCTTCGGAAAACGGACATTTGCAAACGGTTAAATGCCTAACCAATCTTGGAGCAAAATTGAATGTGGTCGATGCTAACCTACAGACATCGGTTCACTTATGCTCACAGAACGGCCATCTTCATGTGGTAGAGCTGTTAGTAAACGAAGGAGCAGATATTGATGTTGGTGAAAAAGATGGGTTTACAGCTCTGCACATAGCATCATTTAATGGTCATGTTGATATTGTCAAATATCTCGTCAGTAAAGGGGCAGACCTGGGGAGACTAGCTAATGATTACTGGACACCTCTACACCTTGCATTAGACGGTGGTCATCTTGACATTGCAGAGTACCTTTTGACAGAAGGAGCCAACATTAACACTTCTGGTAAAGGTGGGTGTACAGCTCTACTTACTGCTGCACAAACTGGTAATATTGATGGAGTGAAATATATAACCAGTCAAGGAGCAGAGCTGGATAGGAGCACTGACGATGGTTGGACCGCACTTAGTCTGGCCTCATTTGGGGGACACCTTGAAATTGTCAAAGTTCTCGTTAACGAAGGGGTAGAGGTTGACAAAGCACTCAGGAGCGGGATGACACCCTTGTGTCTTGCAACAAAAAGAGGCCATCTTGGTATTATCGAGGTCTTACTGAACGTAGGAGCAAATATTGATAACTGTAATCGAGATGGGTTAACAGCACTCCACATAGCATCACTCAAGGGTCATCTGGATATTGTCAAATACCTTGTTAGCAAAGGGGCACAGCTTGACAAATGTGACAAAAACCACAGGACATCCTTGTCTTTTGCTTCTCAAGAAGGCCATCTTGAAGTCGTCCAGTATATCGTTGACAAAGGAGCAGGCATTGAAATTGGCGATAAAGATGGGCTTACGGGTCTTCACATAGCATCAGTCAAGGGTCATGTTGATATTGTCAAATACCTTGTTAGCAAAGGGGCACAGCTTGACAAATGTGACAAAGCTGACATGACACCCTTGTCTTGTGCTTCTCAGGAAGGCCATCTTGAAGTCGTCGAGTATATCGTGAACAAAGGAGCAGGCACTGAAGCTGGTGATAAAGATGGGGTTACAGCTCTTCACATAGCATTACTTAAGGGTCATGTTGATATTGTAAAATACCTTGTTAGGAAAGTGGCGGACCTGGGGAGATTTGCGACTGATTACTGGACATCTTCTCGCCTTCACAAAGCAATTATGACAAAGTCCGTTATGCCATTCGTTGGTAGACGGCTCATCTGTACGCCGTATGTTCCCCTGTCAACATCCAGAGACGCCATAAACTACATCTTGCTCGTAATCAAAGACGACTTCTGCGGCCTGAAAGAGGTAGATTTATCATGATTTAACAGTTCGGTATATTTTTGGCGCCAGTTATGGGTATTAATCTTCTTTTTTTCTTCATTCAATTTCGTCTCAGAACTTCCTAATTTTGCACATATCGTAGTCAATTTCGTATTTGGTCATTCACTTTCAGACTTTGTCCAATCGATTTCATCATTTTGCATCCAATTTCGTGTAAAGTCAAGTTCGTCACCCTAACCACTAACGTACAATTGCATGAATCAATTCACAACCAATATTAAGAAATCCCAGATCTAATAATTCCAACTAGATTTTCACATCTTGAAGTAAATGATCAGTTCGAGAATCATAAAAGATTCATCACCCATTTTGTGTGGAGGTGTCGTGGTATTTTTTATTTATTAACTTGACTCTGAATCCAAGGGTTGAGAGTTCAAATGCCAGCCCGGCGCTAACGTTCATTGACAAGACAATAACCCATATTTGCAACCCATGTCTATCTGAGTACCTGGCAATTGATGTAGTATACTTCAGTGCCCTCTGGAAGAACAGCATTATTGCAATGATTGCATTATTATTATTATTATTACTATTATTGTCATTATTATATTGTCAATATGGATCCACATAATGTTCAACCTTTTGCAGGATACCATACAAGAGTACAGGGTAGCCTTTCCTGGTGAGCAATACTGTGTATATTGGGGACAAGGACCCCTACTTGTCAGACATCTGGAAAATGGAGACGAAGTGTCAACACAGGTAAGAATCTCAACATAAATGATACTGTTTTTTCTTGTTTAAATTATCCTGACATACAATCGTCGGCCACTAATTATGCAAGGCATTATAAATATTTTCTACATTACCATTGACACGGGCTAGAGCTTTCTTAATCAACACTGAACTGATGAACTTTCTGCCTTAGTGTCTGTTCAGAGCCATCTTTTCACATAATATAGATGGCTCTGGTTCTGTTCATTGCACAGCGCCATCTCATGGTCAATTTGCCATCATTGTGTAATCACCAGTTCACGGTTAGCACATTACTGCAATGACCCCGAATATCCACAGATCTTCAAAACATGAAGAGGTCCCACTTTGTACATTTTGAAATAATCACTCCTACAGCGATGGAGGTGCTACATAAATAGCCTTTGTTTCCCCTTTTCAAAGAATACTTCCACCTGTGTATCATGGAGTGCATAAATGAATAATGATTACATAACTTTCATAAGCACGTATCCAGTATTTTGTCTCCGTGTATTTCACAATTTGTTCTGCAATGACCTTTATCTGCTCATGCTCAGACTGCAACCGTGAACTGGCTTATTCCTTGTTTCCGCTTCGCAGACAGAGGGCTCGAAGCGATAACCATATCATCCCAGCCATTTACAGGCCAATACTGCTACAGCTGACCCGAGATGGCGCTACATGGGAGTTAGCTGTATTGCTTCTAGAAGGCCTCCACTGTCTATTTATTAAGACATACGGGGGTGTGCCGCTCTAATGGGTAACTTTTCACAAAAAAATCCCTAAACATTGGTCCCACTTTTTACAAAAAATACAAAATTTGCAAAATTTCCAGGTGTTTGCAAACAGCTGAAAAACACCCGAAGAACACCCACAAATTTGTAAAAGGGGGTCTTTTTCCGAGAAAAATGACCCAAAATGACCCCTAATAATGGGTATGGGTTTCGAGTCTGGAGCGGCACACCTCGTCCAAACCAATTCTGAGTATCCCCCCCCCCCGGGAATATTCGTTTAGAAACTAATTTCAAACATGGGCCTTAATTCATTGTATCAATTTTAGATTAGAATGAACCGTGGCACAATTCCTATAACTTCGTATGGTGTTAATTAATGGTTATCCTTGATTTTCTTAGGAACTTAAAGAGTGTGCTTTGTTTGACATGAGGACCCATCGGATGTCGTTCAATCTTCAACCACGTGAACAAATAGTATCCAGAGTTCGCGTCACTCTTATCTTGAAGCAAAAACTCACGAAGAGTATCGTCTTTCCAGTAATATACAACGGTAATATCAAGGGCGTGAATTCCTTTAGGAGTATAATATCAGTGCTGGTGAAGAAAATCATATTCTAGTGCAGTTTCAAGAATGGTTATTTGTCTGAGCTTCGGACAAGCTGTAACATATCGTCAGATTTAACACAAACATAACATTCCAAAACATTATTTCTCTCTCTTCAGGCGTTCGGCATGGCTCGTGTAAGAAAGATATGGGAAATTATACGAATTTTTAAAACGCATTTTTATTGATACTGGACAAAATGCTCCCGAAAACAAAAACAAACTTTTTAAACCGGTTTTTTCGATCCTGGTATCATTTTGTCATGTGAACAGTATACAAATATTCACTGCTCATGAGGATGATGGTGGGAACTATCACTCCCAAGGTGGTGTTTACACCGGCCCTTCTATCACCCCCGAGGCGAAGCCGAGGGGGTGATAGAAGGGCCGGTGTGAACACCACCGAGGGAGTGGTAGTTCCCACCATCATCCGATTACAGAGCAGTCCATATTTGTTTTATATACCTCATCCTTTTCATTGATTCATGATTAGGTCTAGCTGTAGGTCTAGATCTAGCTCTAAAAACAGGAAACGAGATCAAGAGGAATTTACTAACCCAAATAAGAAAAATACAACATCAAGTCCAAGGCAAGAGTATTGAATTCCTACGCGCTGCGCGTAACCGCGCGATTGCGGTAGCCTAGCAACTCAAACAAATTTGTGTGCGCAACTAAGTCGCGGGAGGGGTTAGGGGTCCTATCCCAGGGTTTGATAGTAGCTATCAACCCCTCTGACGTAATGATACTTGATAGATCGAAATGCTCCTTGACATGTGATATAGTCTTGACCAATCAGTGAATGACAATCTATGTATGAGGTATATAATTTCTACTACTGCTGGTACCAGTGAATTTGACCCCCATCATTGACAGTATGCTAGTCCGTTCGTTTTGGGCCACCCTTTAGGCCTATACATTATACATACGAATACATTATGTTTATAATTGTATATATATTAAATGTACATTATTTGTATGTGCAACGCTAAACATTTCATTTAGTGTAGCAAAAGCACAATGAAAAGTGGCTCCAATTTGGAAAAATTATCATTTTAGGATAAACGCTTCTCATCACGTTTATACCATGAATTCACAATTTAGATGTGCCGGATGCCAATCCAATTGCCCAATCAACTCTGACAGGATCTGCATCGTCCAAAGGCAAAGCTGAACCAACTGATGTTGGACGGGGAACATCCAAATGTAAGATTTACAAAATGTATTTTCTTTTTTGTTGTTTTTGCTTTGTATGTTTCATACACAAACTTTTTGATATGCAGGGCATCGTTTCATGAAACCGAAATGGCTATGAGTGAAAAACGTGTGTAAAAACTAATACGTTTTCTAAAAACGTGTGTAAAAAAATAATACGTTTTCAATGGGATGTTGGCAAGCTTTTTGCTTTCAATAATGTCCTTATTTTGTAAAGAGACAATTTTTAAAAATTCGAAAAAATTTGATTCTGATTTGATTCTGATTTGATCTTGATTGAATATTGCATTTTCAGCATCTCACCTCTCTGAAGAGCTGACGAGAAGCGAGCACCATCTTGAAACGATAGGTTCAACATCACCTGAGCCTGCAGACACAGAGGGTAAGACTATGACCATTGTGGCTTCAGGATCGGTTCTGGAGGGGGAGAGATTGGGCTCTCGAACTGCTACTACGGCCTTTATTATTGAAATTGGCCTTTGTTTTAAATATCCTTTAAGGTAGGCCTATTATCAATCTATTTTTATACCGTATAATTTTTATTCTGTAAAATTTCATTTCTTTGCTACATGTTCCATGATATTATCTCAATGATATCAATAAACCAAACTAATACAATGTAATTCGAGGGTCGACTTGCGATAGATAATGGATCAGTCAGAGCTCTTTTCAGCATAAGTCGGGGTCTGGTTTAATCATTTCATAAAACTTTTTTTTGTTTTACGTTGCTTTATTTCAGACGGAAGTAGTCATACTGATGTCTTTACACGTCCTAGGCCGTTGACTTCGCCATCGATAGAGTCACCGTCCAGTGAACATGCCTACCAGGTCACACATGATTTGGTAACAGAAACAGGAGCAATTGGTAAGGAATTGAAAGACAAAGTCGTGTTCTGGGCTCTGTAATAACAAATAAGTCAATTGTATCTCCCCAAAAAATATTTTTTCTCCTTAATCAATCGTAACTTTAAGATGATTAGTTACTGACATTTAATTTCATGTTACAGACAGAATCGAACGAACATCCTTTGTAAAATTATTAATTTATATATGCTACGCTCGACGCAGGCATGTGAAATAAGTTGGCAGGCTACCTGAAACGATTGCTGGCACTTAACCGGGGTAATAATATCTAAAGTCCTTTAGAAGCTCATATACAGTACGTCCCACAATAAACGAAACCGAGAATTATTGATATTTCATCATAACTTAATTGACATAACTTAAATAAATGACACATATTTGTCAAGCTTAGATTCTCCTTTCTCATTTGATGCAACTCATATGATGTATATTTCACGCATGAGTGATTAAAAACAATTTGTAGAGAGGAAACCAAAGATTCATTTAGCGGGCGGTATCTGAATTTCAAAGAGAAAATCACACTTATAGAAAGTTCAATTTCTGCCCTTTCATATGAGACCTCAATCAGGAAAAATGGGCCAGGAATAACTAAGTCCTGTTCGTTTAAAGTTATGCTTCCATTTCCATAATTTGATTAATCGAATTCATTTCCACTGGCTGCCTGCCGTAGCAAAAAACAGAGTTTACAAAAGACTTAACTCCGTTCCGTTGACGATCAGACATGCACATATAAGACGAAAGACTTGATGCGTGGCTGATCGTCAACGAAACGGAGTTAAGTCTTTTGTCAACTCTTTTTGTTGCTTCGGCAGGCAGCCAGTGAAAACGAATTCGTTTAATCAAATTATGGGAATGCAAGCATTACCTTTAAAAAAAGACTTTGTTATTTCTGGCTCATTTTTCCTGATTGAGGTTTCATATAACAGGGCAGGAAATGAATTTTCTAGAAATGTGATTTTCTCTTTGAAATTCAGACACCGCCCGCCAAATGACTTTTTGGTTTCCTTTTGTCAAATTGTTTTGTATCACTCATGCGTGAAAAATGCATCATATGAGTTGATGAAAAGATGATTAGTACTACAAAATCAGAGAATAGCATTGAAAAGAGCCATAACTTAAGCTTTTCGACTTGCACTCATCAGAGTAAAACGCAAGAATGAAACAGAAACAGAAAACGGCTGGCATAAGTCTAAGTTACCGTTACCTTTGACAGCCAATCAGGGCTCGTTATATTCGCGCCTTGTTTCCTTTTAGTTTCCGTTTATATTGTTCGATTTCGGCTTTCTGTTTCATTCTTGCGTTTTACTCTGATGAGTGCAAGTCGAAGAACTTAAGCTATGGCTCTCTTCAATGCCGTTCTCGTATGAGTTGCATCACATGAAAAAAGAGGATCTAAGCTTTACAAATATGTGTCATTTATTAATTATAATTGTGATTAGGTTATGATAAAACATCGATAATCCTCGGTTAAATTTTTTCTGGGACGCACTGTATATATAAACTGTTGGTCATAATGGTGGAATAATTTTGTTTTACTCCAATTTATGGGATGATTTTGACAATGATTTCTTCCTAACAGATCTGGATAATAGTATACATTCTCAAATTGTATTGAATAATAATTTGTGAGTGTTTGTTTTTCATGACTGCTAAATCATGTGTGTGCTACTATGCTAATCAACTAGTGGACCTACGTCCTTAAGTCATAACTGACAGTAATGAGGAGTAATGCCTCACAAAAGGGCACTAATATAGCTGATCGACGCGGTTTTTATTCTGGGGCCTCACAGTTACGAGGCCATTGTTTAGCCACTGAATCATGTCTGTACGCAGCGGGGGCTAGGGTACGTCGCCGCCCCCACAAATACAAAAAAAAAAAAAAATGCAAGAAATTATCAATAGTTTATTGCATTTTCCCCCGGTCCCCAAAATTAAAAATTCCTCTGTAGGGCAATTCATTATGGATCAAGGCATGCCCACATAGAGGATTTTTTCAATGTCAGGGCCTTGTTACTGTGAGCCCCCAGGATCAAAACCATGTCGATATGCTTTATTAGTGCCCTTTTATGAGGCATTATTCCTCATTACTGTCAGTTATGACTTAAGGACGTAGGTCCCCTAGTAGATTAGCCTCTTGTCGATGGCCCTCGCGTTGTTGGAGTCTGTAAATTCTGGCGAGCGAAGCGAGCCAGAAAAACCGAGCGCGAGCGAGGGCCTCTTGACAAGTGATCTGAATTATATATTCATGAGACCCGATTTCCTACTGAATTATGCGTGACTAGACAGCAGCGATTGTATGAGTGTGTGTGTTTATTGGAATTGCCAAACTAGGCTAGTCTGCAAACACAGACCCTAATTTGACACTTTATTCAAAAATCATTGTGCCTTGAGAGAAGCCTAGCCCAGCTACCTACTGGTACCTACTAGTTATGTTAATATAGGTAAGGAGCAGCTATAGTACAAGGCTTATAGTAGTCTTATAGTGCAGACTCTCTTTTACGACTGACCAGGGTTTGTGCTTGCAGACTACAACTAGGCGGCCAGTCTCGCTCTCACGGAAGAAATTCGCACAGAGCGGTACATATTACGTCATAGTAGCTCTCTCTGATTGGATGACTTTCACCGAACTCTGTTGGGTCGGAATATTCGCCAAACAATGTAAAACATAAGAAATTCAGATCACTTGTCAAGAGGCCCTCGCTCGCGCTCGGTTTCTCTGGCTCGCTTCGCTCGCCAGAATTTACGGACTCCAACAAGACGAGGGCCATCGACAAGAGGCTACTAGTAGATTAGCATAGTAGCGTACACATCAGTGGCGTACCTGGGGTACTCCGTCAGGGGGGGGGGGCAAGCGACCGAAACAAACAAAAAAGGCGATGCTAATTTTCACTTCTGGCGAGCGAGCGAGCGAGCAAAAAATAATCTTTAAGTAACGTTTGGTATATAAACTGGTATTGTTGCAAGTTGGGGGTGGGAACATTCACTTGTTAGCGACGTTAATTTCATTTTTTTGCAAACGAGCGTAGCGAGCAAGAAAAATATCACTTTTTTTTTAATAATTGCCACTTAAACTTGGTTCAATTGTCCCATGCAGGGCGCGGGAACAATATTGTGTTTAGGGTGATTTCATACCCATTTTAGCTAGCGAGCCAAAATACATTTTTCTCTCAATGAATTGCTATATAAAATTTGTTTCATTGTTGCAGGTAGGGGGCGGGCACAATCGTGTTTAAGGCAATGTCAATCCAATTTTGGCGGGCAGGCAACCCCCTACATTTCTCTTTTTAATGATATTGTAGCAGGTTAGTGGTGGGCACATAATTCCACGAGCTAGCGAGCGTAGCGAGCGAGCGAAAAAAAATCACTTCTCTTTTATAGGGAAAATATGGTACATAAAACTTGGGTTCATTGTTCCATGTCAGGGACGTGATTATTAAAAGCGGTGTTATATCTATTTTGGCGAGCGAGCGTAGCGAGCGAGCAAAAAAAAATCACTTCTCTTTTATAGGGAAAATATGGTATATAAACTTGGGTTCATTGTTCCATGTCAGGGACGTGATTATTAAAAGCGGTGTTATTTCTATTTTGGCGAGCGAGCGTAGCGAGCTAGCAAAATTTTTGTAATGATAATTGGTTCATAAATTTCAGATTTTTTTGTTGCAGGGCAGGGCTTACACAATCATGTCTAAGGTGATGTTAATTCCGTTTTGGCGAGCACGAGCACACCAAAACTTTTTTGAATAACGTTTGGTACATAATTATTAACTGGTTGTTGCAGGTTGGGGCGGGCACGTTAGCGGTGTCAATTCCATTTTGGCGAGCGAGCATAGCGAGCAAGCAAAACAAAAATTCTCTTTAATAGAAATTAATAAATAAACTAGTTTTTATTGGTGCAGGTCAGGATGGACGCAATCGCGTTTAACGCGATTCAATTCCTTTTTGGCGAGAGGGCGAAAAAAACTCTTCCATTTTTAATGATATTGTTGCAGGTCAAGGGTGGGCACAATTGTTTCCAAAGCAATATCTATTAATTTTATTCGCGAGCAAGTGTAGCGAGTGAGAAAAATGAATTACTCTCTTTTAGTATTATTTGGTACGTACACTGTGTGTTATTGTTGCCAGGTTGCAGGTCGGGGCCCATCGGGGCAGGCACAATTGTATTCTAGGCAATGTTAATCCTTTTCTTTTTTCAGGGGGACGAGCAAGTGAAAACATTTAATACAAAATAGGCTAGCAAGCAGTTCGCGCCAGCGAAGATTTTTGGAATTGGTTATATCACTTATATTTTCCTATTTTCATTTTTCTTAATTTTTCAGGGCCGTATGCGGAATATTTTTCTGGTGGGGGAGGGGGAAAGATGCGTTAAAGTTTTCGAAGATTCTCAAAAGCAAAAGGAGTGAAGGGAGTTCGAGCGACCGAACTGGTCATGAGGGTACTTTTGCATTTTCAAAAGTAGAATTGAAGGATTTGGTATAGGCCTACACTACATTTTCAGGAAAAAAACTGTACGTTTTCAAAATATCTGGGGTCAACAGCCCCCCCCCCCCCCCTGATGCGTACGGCCATGGTCTTTTTTTTTTAAATTTCCCCATTTTTTTCCTTTCCTTTTCTTTTTTTCTTTTTCTTTCCTTTCCTTTCTTTTCTTTTCTTTCCCCTTTTTCTTTTTTTCCCCTGGAGCCCGTCAGGGGGGGCACTCTGCCCCCCCTGCCCCCCCATAGGTACGCCAGTGGTACACATGCTTTAGCATTCACGCAAAACAAACACTCACATATTATTATTCAGTAAAATCTGAAAATGTATACTATTATCTAGATCTAGTAGGAATAAATCATTGTTAGAATCTTTCCATAATTCGGGGTAAAAAAAATTATTCCACCATTATGACCAACAGTGTATATATATTGTGATAAACGCTTATTTCCTTTACACGCTCTTCGGAAATTTAAACGATGTAATTGATTTACGTCATATCATCTTTTGTTCGTTTTGTTTGATGCTTCGACATCATCGACAGTGCCCCTCCATTCATTAGAGTCTGCAGC